TATTGTACACTAAATAGTTATGGGGTGCCATGGCTGCCAGTTCTGTTGTCTTTAAAAGAGTTAAAGGACTGCTAATTCTAAACTGCAGTGATTCAAAACATTCAAACATGTTCTAGAGATTATGAGTAATATTTTAACTTTGGTACACACTCATATTTTGGAACAATTTCCAAGGACGTACTGACTATAAATGTATCAAGATCTGTAAATATAAAATATAAATCTTCCTTTAAAATTTCCATCGATTTGCGATTTGCCTGCCTGCAAAAAGGTTAATCCACTTGGAACGTTTTCCGTGGTTGTGGACCTTCGTTCCACATCAAATGCATCCTGCCCAACATCAGCGATAGCCCAGTTTGTAAAGCAACGTTGAAGCTCTTGGAAAGACAGCAAATACTAACGCTGTTTGCTCCGGCGACTTGCTTTGAAGAGGACGAAAGCGACCAAGAAGTGAGGCAGCCGATGACGATTGACGACGAACCAGAAGACGAACAGAACGAAACCCTCGTGAACAGTTTATTAGCAAAAATATTAAGCCCTTCGCGAAGGTCTGTCAGCTATTAACTGTGGTCAGACAATCGCCATTTCGCCAACCGGGTACTTTTAATGTACAGTAATGAGTCATGCGATATTGTACCTGTCAGTCCTGGATCGTTGTGACGCATTTCCGATGCGAAATGAGATCGATGAGATCAGATAGGTAATATTTAAAAACATGTCAGCTGTGGTGTGGGGAAAATAAGTTTAAACTGCCAAATCTACCAATTTTTATGTGTGTGTAAAGATAGTGCAAGTGAGAGTCTGCTATTTTACGCGCGTCGAAACACTGTTATTCAAACATAAATATTTCGCGTTCTAGATCGAATTTTAAAAATCCCCCCGAGGAAATTAAAGAAGAAAGCATGCTTTATCAGAATTTGTCAGTTTTGGCGAAAAAAGTTTAATATCGAATGTCAACGAGGGCGTAGAACAAGGTGTTATTTTCTCACTCCTTTTGTTTACATGTTCGAATTTCAGGCATTCTGATTGGTCAAGAACGCAAAATGTAAACAAACGCGCTGATTGGCTAACATTATTTGCCCTTGTTCGATCACATACAATCAAAGTAGGCAAGTAAATATGATTTTAAAATATAAAATTCATTACAAATTTTACTGTGTAGTATATTCTATGATGATATATTTACTATACACTAATACACGTCTGGGCCGCCTGTGTAGAGCCTGACACAAAACTTAACCTGATCGCTTTCCGCCCACAGCAAAGTTTATATTTAGTATCCAATCAAAATGTCGCAGGAGAAATTTAAATTTCACACAACGACAACAACAATCTAATTATAGCATAGGCGCCCACTAAACGGCTGAATTTAAATTAAAACTGCAATGAACTTATAAAAATTAACAAAAATAATCACAAATTAGCGAAATATATTGCAAATGTAGCTTATATTAAATCGCCACCCGATTGCTCTCTCCTCCGCAGAGGTTTCAGTGACTACAATGAGCTTTACATGGCGCTTGCCGTATTTATCAACAAACAGTGACATATAATTATAAAGTATATATATTAAGTATACTTTATAACTATACGTCAGTCGATAGTGCAATCTGATGGCGATTTAATATAAGCTACATTTGCAATATATTTCGCTAATTTGCGATTATTTTCTAATTTTACTGCAGTTTTAATTTAAATTCAGCCGTTTAGTGGGCCGGCTATAATTGTAGTTGTAGTCGAGGACCTGTATATGAGTTTGTATGCATTTCATTTAGGACAGATAATCTCAACTGTTTTAGGGCAAGTTGACCATGACGGTCAACATGGTAACGCTGCCCGAACCCCAATCCGGGACGAAACGTCCGAAACTGACCACACCCAAAAACGACGCTTTCGCCATACTGTTATCTACCAAACCATAAAAGCTTTGGCTATTCTGAGGTGCTTATATGGTTCAGAGATGGTACTTTTTGGGGTGGTCATTGGTAAGTGTGAAATGCCTAGCACTAATATTTCACAAGAAAATGACCATGCAATAATCATAGTTAAACGTCAATTTGTGGCTTGCAACTTCAGATAAACAGCAGTGGACTTACATTACCTTTTTCCCTAAATCTTTTTGATAGAAACATAATTGGTACTTATTTAAATATATTATCACTGGTTTGGTGTAAAATAGTTAATATTTTCTGACCGAAATAATAATTTGAAATGTGCCTACCTCCTGCAAATGGACGTATTTGGCCAAGTTCTCCACTTTACTCCGCTGTTTATCGGCGATCTCGTCGACATCCTACAAAAAATGTAAATCATCTCAGACATAATGGTATCAAGAACATTTTAAACAAGTTTCAACTTGGTTTCAAGTAGATCATACCTGTTTAACCATCGACAAGGTAAATCCACAACTTTGTCCAAATTCGGCGCCATTTTGTCATCCCATGTCGGTTGTCAACAATTCGGCCTTGTTACTCTTCCATTCACGCCATATCCATTGCACAAATAACAAATTTAACCCTTTGTTAAGGGTATTAAAATAAAAATACAAATGAAATATGCGAAATGCAGCATTTTATCACCCGGTAAAATGTTGCTTACGAGTCCTTCAAAACATTTCGTACAAATCTCGCGTGGTTTAGCAACAGGGACGTGACAGGGGGGGTAGAGACTTGAAAAATGAAAGCAAAGCCCCACACAGTATCGTAAAACCATTAAACCAACAATCAGCATTTAATTTGTATGACTTGTTCATATTAATAAATAATAATATGTATATATTTGTCGCTACAAGAAATAAAACAAACGTTTGTATGATTGTCTTTAGCTTTTAGTCTATTTCACGCAGCCTTCTTCTATCTTCGTGAAATAATTCACCCCCCCTGTCACGTCCCTGTTACTTTGTCACGCGAGATTTGTACGGAATGTTTTGAAAGACTCGTGAGCAAGATCTTACAGGGTGATAAAATGCTGCATTTCGCATATTTCATTTGTATTTTTATTTTAATACCCTTAACAAAGGGTTAAATTTGTTATTTGTGCAATGGATATGGCGTGAATGGAAGAGTAACAAGGCCGAATTGTTGACAACCGACATGGGATGACAAAATGGCGCCGAATTTGGACAAAGTTGTGGATTTACCTTGTCGATGGTTAAACAGGTATGATCTACTTGAAACCAAGTTGAAACTTGTTTAAAATGTTCTTGATACCATTATGTCTGAGATGATTTACATTTTTTGTAGGATGTCGACGAGATCGCCGATAAACAGCGGAGTAAAGTGGAGAACTTGGCCAAATACGTCCATTTGCAGGAGGTAGGCACATTTCAAATTATTATTTCGGTCAGAAAATATTAACTATTTTACACCAAACCAGTGATAATATATTTAAATAAGTACCAATTATGTTTCTATCAAAAAGATTTAGGGAAAAAGGTAATGTAAGTCCACTGCTGTTTATCTGAAGTTGCAAGCCACAAATTGACGTTTAACTATGATTATTGCATGGCCATTTTCTTGTGAAATATTAGTGCTAGGCATTTCACACTTACCAATGACCACCCCAAAAGTACCATCTCTGAACCATATAAGCACCTCAGAATAGCCAAAGCTTTTATGGTTTGGTAGATAGCAGTATGGCGAAAGCGTCGTTTTTGGGTGTGGTCAGTTTCGGACGTTTCGTCCCGGATTGGGGTTCGGGCAGCGTTACCATGTTGACCGTCATGGTCAACTTGCCCTAAAACAGTTGAGATTATCTGTCCTAAATGAAATGCATACAAACTCATATACAGGTCCTAGACTATTGTGATCGTTATAAAATATATCAACAACAATAGTATAATCTAATTAGCACCAGCCAATCAAATGACAGATTTAAAAATCGTTTGTCTAATCGGCCAATCAGCGCTCAGTCCAGATTCTGGACTGAACAACCAGGCAAAATGCCACTTTTGTGTCAGGCCGTACTTTTCTCCCTTTCGCCCACGATCAGGCGTGCCTGTGCCCTAAAAAGTACGGCCTGATACTCAGGTTAAAAAAGAGATAAATACCATATTTTCTGAAATATGGCATCCATAAAATAAATGGATGTTGGCAAATAAATGGATGTTGGCATCATCAACAAGATTTTGCCCATGACTGCAGAGCTAGTTGGATTTAAGCAGATATTAAAAAGTAAGTGAAAATGTGAACTTTGTTAATGATACTTTCATTTAAGATGTTTCAGATGGTCTCCTAAATGGGTGACTGAGCTGTCAGTATACCCATATCTCAATGTTCATGTTGAATTGACCCGTCATAATCACTTGAAATTAGGTTTAAATCAAACTTTTATCTATGACTATAGTCTTTTTAGAATTAATTTATTCATGAGGAAAATGCGCCAAAGGGTTGAAATTGCCCTTGTAATTGTACACAATTCTTAACATGTTTGTTAGTATTTTGAAAAGGTGTTCTGGACGGAAAATATCTTGAACAATGTCTTGAACAATGCCGGTTGATCCTTAAGTTATAACTAGTGTTGTGTAAATCACAGGGCCATACACAATATTTTGGATTCTATGAGGCCCCAAATGTAGCTTAATTATGAAAGTTCTGTTTATCTGGGAAAGCTTTGAAAATTGAATAAATAGGAGAATTTGACTATGCTCGTCACCAAAACCAAATTTTTCTAATTGTTTTTTCACCTGGTTTTGTCGCAACGCCAGTTATGTGACCACAAAAAATGTGCGCGGCACTTTTTGGGACACTGCAGATGGTAACACTGACCATTCTAAAGAATCTATTCAAATGTAATTTCAAGCTTGAGCAACACTTGTTGAGCACGTGTAGAAACAGTTGCGTATTTTGAAACTATATGAAAAATTCAACGATGTTCATATAGTGTAGCGTTTAAACGTAGCCGCCAGTTGAAGTAAAAGAAAAATTCTAATAATAAAGCCTAAAAAGAATGAGTTGAAGAAGCAGAAGTATTTCTCGATAGTTTAGATAATTTACGATCATGCTATTTAACCTGTTTCCCACATTCCTTTTCAAAAACACAGCTATAATCCGAGTAACATTACCTGGACATGCCCTATCATAACCGATCTCTAAGCAAGAAAAACACAATTGCCTTATTTTTAGTATTCTATTTGTTCGTAGCATTTCGCGAAACACAATGGATGCACGTCCATTGCAGTTGGGTCGATCAGACTCGATCTTCTGTCTTTTGACCTTGAACCTCGAATGAATTAGCCATATACTAATTTAAAATGTTTTATTGTTCTCTTCGTAATATGCGTACCTGTATGCAACATTGCATGCTATCAGCATATAGATTATATTGTAGTAAAAGAAAATTATATCCGGTTTTGTGTACTAGATTAATGCAAACTAAAGTAGTCCTTGTATGGTCGTCACACGTGCGTATTTTTTTCTCCCAGACCACAGCCCAAACAGTTAAGCCAGTTTTCCACTTCAACCGTATACCGAAACGTACTGGTGAGCATGCGCAGATTGAAAATAGGTTAATAAATTCACGTACTTCCGGGTGTATTCGGTATCAAAATAAAAACTTCGTTGCAAGTCAACTTTTTGGCGTACTACGGAAGTATTACCCAATCAACATTCACTAAATTTTGAAATTTAAAAATGTTTTTGACACGCTTCGGTAGCTGTAGTGTATAGTTAATAGTGAGCTTAAGCAAGTGACGTTTTTGACAACACGAACGGTAACGAGTAACGTCAGAAGACTGGGTCAAGGGCTGTGATTGGTGAAAAACGTCAACTTTACTTCCGGTCGACGTCCGTGTTGTCAAAAACGTCACTTGCTAGCCTGCGTAGAGGCTCTCAAGTCACTTGCTTAAGCTCGCTAATGCTGGCAGGGCCGCCGAGAGAATTCGCGGGGCCCGGGGCAAATCTTCTTTGGGGCCCCATGACATCATTATTTTAAGCTAGATCCAAGTCAGTCACCGATGTAGACCCTAGCTAGACTGCATGTGGAGCTACTGTAAGGGGCCCTCAATTTCAAAAATGCTAAAGAACCTACTCAATTTTAGGCTCTCGCCCTCAAGTTGGGGCTCTATTAAGGTGGGGCCCCGGGGCAACTTGCCCTCCATGCACCCCCCCTCTCGGCGGCCCTGAATGCTGGCCTGCGCCTAGCCGTAAATGGGCTCCAAACGTACAATACCCAGTACGATAACTCTAAAATTTTGGGGAGCATCTTGTAATCTCTAAATGCTGTACTAAACTTGACAAGTTCTCTTTCTTGTGTGATTGCTCAAGAATCATTTTCTTTGTCAAAGTCCAGTACCGACGAGGTAATTAATTTTTCTCTTCTGCAGTACACAAATGTGCACGTACATTATATGGACATGGCTTTATAACAGTGTTAAAAACAGCGAATGTCTGCGGTATGTGGAGCCATTATTTATGATTAGTTGCAGAGAAAAATTCTTGCCAAATACTGTGGATTCACTCCAATGAGGAATAATCCCACGCTGGAAACATTAGCTACATGTAGTGTACGGTGCGACATCTGGTGCAGATTGGTTTCAATTTGGTTGTGACTGTGAGCAAGCATGTCAATCTCTCTGCCCGCAAATATTGATTTCTATACAGCACTATTTCGCTATTTGGACTATTTCACATCGGCGACTATGACTTGGTCGTGACAGGCATGACTAAATGGAAACCAGGCTACACTCTACTAAAGTGAGAGACCCCAAGTTTACCCAGACTCGAGTTCGCACCACAGCAACCAGTTACCATGGATGGACTTTCTTCGGCTATGTATTTAGACCACGCCGTGATAAGCTAAGTGATGTAAAACTAGAAAGTAATTCGTGAATTTCATCCACCTAGAAACAATTAAAGTGTGGTTACTTCATGTAGAATTTATCATTCACGTGCAAAGCACAGAGACCCCCTATGCTCACCCCGAGCATTATCTTTATACCGCAGCAACTCACACCCCTCAGTTCAGTTAATGTTTAGATTAAATTAAGACAGAGACTAGATAAAAACCTTTAACCAGGAAGTCTTACAAGTACAGTGTAAGCCCGTCGTCTATGTATGGGAAATGAGCCAGCCCCGTTAGGTGAGATCTGATGGGTGACTTTCCATATCATAATCACACGGATCAGGATAGGATTTGGCCAACCTCCACAAGAGGGAAGAGCCTGGTAACGAGGTTGGGATTTCGCTTGCAATGGCTGGAAATAGTCTAAGGGTACTAAATTGCAGTATTGAAATTGTGGCTTTTAATACGGAAATTGACTGATTTTATCTCACGTTTTAAGCATGATCTCAGTCAAGCACATGTGTAATGTTGGTCTAACTTAAGGTGGCTCCTTACAGTTATAGTACAGTTTAAAACATATTTATATTATTATATATATCAGATGTCATCCTCGTTGTAATATATTCAGTATATATGCATGCTAATTAGATTCATGTATATAAGGGTTGTTTGTAACATAATAAACAGACTAATAACATAACATGGTGTCAGGATGGAGCCGTTTATGAAGCCTCCTTTAGAGATGAATTTTTCAACAACTGAACAGTTGTCGTTATCCGAAAGATGGAGACGATGGAAGGAAACTATGCAGTTATATCTTGGATTAAACATGTCTAAAGCCAGCGAGAAAGAACAATGTGCGGCGTTCCGGTATGTGATCGGACAAGACGGGCGAGACATTTATAACACAATGAAGTTTACAGAGGCTCAAACGGACAAAATCGACGTGTTATTCGCGAAGTTTGACGAGTATTGTGAACCCAGAAGAAACACGATTATGGAAAGATACAAGTTTAATACGCGAGTGCAAAGAGACGACGAAACAGCCGATCAGTACGTAACTGAACTTAAATTGCTCGCTAAGAATTGCAACTTCGGGTCTCTTGAGGACGAGTTGATTAGGGACCGCGTTGTTTACGGAATAAAATCGGAGCGTGTGAGAGAACGGTTATTGCGAGAACGAAAGTTAACGTTAGATAAAGCGTTAGAAGTATGTCAAATAAACGAACAGTCTGAGGAACAACTAAAAGTACTAAACGATGTTCAGAGCGTCAAGGCCATAGGAAAATATAACAAATCAGGAAATTATCGTAGCAAATTAGATGCAAATCGAAGGCGTGATTTCAAGCATAACGGCGGCAACAAACAAGAACAAGTATCGTGTTGCGGAAAGTGCGGAAAGTCTCATCCTGCGAAAGAATGCCCAGCTTTTGGTAAGAAATGTTTTAAGTGTGACAAAAAGAATCATTTCGCTAAATTCTGCAAGTCAAAGAAAATACATGCAGTAGACAAAGCGAGTACAGATGACGAACCGTTGTTTATTGGAGCGGTTAATTCAATTCATAACGAAGAGAATGTTTTCAAAACTTTATCAATCGAGGGAAATGAGATCAAGTTCAAGATTGATACGGGATCACAAGCCAATATAATACCCCTACCTACATTCGAGAAGATGAAGCTCAAACAAACCCGGTTAGAAAGACCAACAGCAAAGTTAACAAGTTACACTGGCGATTATCTACCGGTCGTCGGAGAATGCAATCTGAAATGTAACAACAAGACATTGAAATTTTTCGTGGTAAAAACTGGACAAGTTCCCATCATTGGTTTGAAAGCTTCTCAAGAACTGAATCTGATCAAAATCATCATGAATGTGAACAATGTGATTGGTCAATCAGCAGAAACCATTCATGAGAAATTTCCTAAAGTATTTCAAGGTTTGGGATGCCTAAAGAATCCATACCACATCGAAGTCGACCCTACGATTACACCTGTCGTCAGTCCTTTAAGAAGTACACCAGTTGCGCTCAGAGAGAGGCTGAGGTCTTCGCTAGATGATATGGAAGAAAAGGGAGTCGTGGAGAAAGTCGATGGTCCAACCGAGTGGGTGAATTCGACAGTGATTATAGAGAAGCCAAACAGTGACAAACTACGAATTTGTCTTGATCCAAGACCACTCAATGAAGCTATCAAGCGAGAACACTTCAAGATGCCAACAATAGAGGAAATCACGACGCGTGTGGCCGGAGCCAGAGTATTCTCCAAACTGGACGCAAATCATTACGTGCACACGGTAACCAGCAGAATGCCAGTATCCGAAGAACGACTGGAACAGATCAAGAACGAAACAGCGATTGACCAGACCATGAAGACCCTGTTCTCAACAATCCGAAGGGGATGGCCAGAGACAAGAAAACAAACACCTTGCGAAATCCAGGACTACTGGAATTATCGTGACGAGCTTTCAGAAGTAGATGGAATCTTGTTGAAGCAAGACAAGATTATCATACCCCTCAGTATGAGAGGAAAGATGCTAGAAAGAATACACGAGAGTCACATGGGCATAGAGAAATCCAAACGACGAGCAAGGGACATGTTTTGGCCAAGAATGAATGAGCAAATTGAAGCCGTTGTATCCAAATGCCAAACCTGCCAAGAATACCAGATGTCGAATCCCAAAGAACCCATGGTGCAAGGAACAATACCATCGAGACCCTGGGAAATGGTCGCAACTGATTTGTTTCAGTGGGAACAGAACAACTATCTGGTCGTGGCAGATTATTATTCGCGTTATATTGAAGTAGTCAAGTTGGAAAACACCACCAGCAGAACTGTTGTGAATCATATGAAGTCCATATTTGCAAGACATGGAATTCCATCAGTCGTAAGAAGTGACAACGGTCCTCAGTACACTGCCAGGGAGTACAAGCAGTTCGCACAAAAGTGGAATTTCGAGCACCAGACTTCAAGTCCATATTATCCGAAATCAAACGGTTTGGCTGAGAAAGCAGTTCAAATTGTGAAACGTTTGCTATCGAAAGCAAAACAAGATGGAAAAGATCCGTACCTAAGTTTGTTGGAGTATCGCAACACACCCATTGGTAACGTAGCTTCACCAGCACAAATATTGATGAGCCGACGTTTGCGTTCGCACTTACCAACTACCCCAAATCAACTTCAGCCAAAAGTTGTTGATCCTGAGAGAATGAAAGAAAAGTTCGAAGAAAAACAAAGAAAGCAAAAACGATATTATGACAGAGGGTCCACGGAGCTTCCGGCAGTGCAAGAAGGAGAAGCAGTACGAGTCCAAGTACAGAATAAGTGGAAACCAGCAGTGATCAAAGAGAAACTGGAAACACCGAGATCGTACATCATTCAAACACCCAATGGTCAAGAAGAAACAGAAATCATATCAGAAAGCAGAAGTATGGTGTTCAGATATCAAGACAGTGGGAACCAATTGAAGATTTCCAGTCTGATGGTGCCAGAGAAGTTCGTGAGGAACAAGTCTCAGAGCCAAGTACTGGACAATATTATAAAACTAGAAGCGGACGATTGAGTAAGCCACCTGAAAGATATCAAGCATGTTAACTTAGTTAATTAAGGTTATCATGAACATATTATTTACGAGACATTTAGATTTAGATTGACTATTAAGTTAAATATATAATGGTTATATATAATAAACATTAGTCGTGAACTAGTATTATTAAGTATTATCATCGAACAGTAATAGACACTTAGTTTAATTAGAGACCTTATACAATTTTAAATAACTTTAAAAAAAAAAAAAGAAAAAAAAAAGAGAATTGTAATATATTCAGTATATATGCATGCTAATTAGATTCATGTATATAAGGGTTGTTTGTAACATAATAAACAGACTAATAACATAACACTCGTGACACGCACGAGGACTCTTCGTCACTTCGTGGCCCAGTGCAAATTTTGAAACAAGGCGAGAAGTTGTTTTTGAGTTTTATCTGCAAAGAAAACGCCAGTTTTTTATCATAATCCTAAACTTTCAAAACAGTACCTGTACGTAATATGTTGTTTTTAAGAGGCAATTTTTTTCAATGTCACGTATTTGCAATGAAAAATGTTCAATACCTAAAATCTTTTTGGCGTTCCTCTCAAAATTACTTTGTTTTAGCTTTATTCTCTAGTTCATAGAGTTAGCTGCTTTTTAAATGCATCTACCGGTTGAGAAACATAAAATAACCAGACACAGTACTAAAATGCGGTGCCCGCCGAACAAATAAAACATTGGTATAAGGCCAAGAAAACAAGAAAACCAACAATACCGCCGAAGTTATGAAGGTCAAACGGACTGCATTTTTGATTAGTTTAATAATTTTGAGCGATTTGTCAACAAACAATTTCGCTTGACTTTCAAAGGCCATAAATCGCTAGAATACTGTTGTTTAGTAATACTTTTGACATCCGTAAGTACAATTTCTTACGCTGAAACGGTGGTATTTTTGTCCTTACTGGGCGCATAAAACCAGCAGAGATAAGACAGAGTCCAAGATTAATTGGAAAGAAAACTTTCCTCGAAAAAAGGAATTCAGAAAACATGAAAGGATTATTTTGAGCGGCAAAACCCTTGAATCGCTGGAATAGAAATCAATTTTGAAATCAATTTCCCATCCATAAATACAACGTTTTACGCTGCTTCGAACAGTGGTATTTTTGCCCTTGTTTGGTGCATAAAACCAGAGATAAAGCCCAGCAAACAGTCGGTCCTGAGAGTCCAAGATTAATTAATTTTCCCGCAAAAATGAATAAATTTCGAGCACGTGCAAGGAATTCTTACTGGGCGATTAAGGAAACGTATTGATGCGAACACACTAACAAACGGACAAACAAACTCACAGGCAGAATATAATGTGGTGCCAAACTTGGGCACCGCAATAGTTAAAAATTGTCAATTAAAATACAATTATCAATGATGCTTTAAAATTGACGCCATATTTACAGCCATATAAGCAAAACTTACTGAACTTCAGACATCATTTTCTCTTTGGCGTATCATCTAAAATCTCTTCATTTTAGCATTATTTTACAGATAAAGCACTAAACATACCTTTTAAGTTTGTTTGCCGATTGAGAAACGTATCGAAAAATGAAAATTTTGAATTTAGTCATAACCTCAAGTGATACATTATACGCATTATGTAGTTTTGAGTGCGTGTTACGTAACATACAAAAAAATCTCCTCTTAATTTTTAACCTATCTTCCAGTGTGTTTTTACGTATTTAACCAAATTTGACAGGGCAATTGATCATTTCCAGGAAAGTTCAGAAGCCTTGTGCTGTCGATATGTGCTGTGCACGATATGTCTTGTGCACGTCGTTGCCACGCATAACTTGCACTGTATTTCTTTTTTTGCACTGTATTTCATTTTATGGCACTGTATTTCGAACAAATTGCACTGCTACTAGCCATATATAGACATGAAATACCGAAAATAATACGTCAACAAACCCGAAACCTCGCCATTTTTAGCATTTTCAGCGGTCAAAAAAGGACTGAATATAGGATATTAAGAGCCTTCTCTTTTTGCGAGTTTGCTTATGTTTTACGTCTAAACTTTAATAATTTTATTAATAACTTTAATTTTGATCAAAGTGCTCAATACATCCCCGTTCAAACAAGACTTTTAAGACTGCACTTTAGGGCTATTTTTCCCGCGTTTCCTCGGTGATTTTTTTTAAACTTTGCACATTTGCTAAGCATGATGATCAGTAAAATATCACAATTTTAAGAAATTCCACGTTGTATTTCTGTAGTGGTTATTCATGAATATCTCGAAACCTGCCTTATAAACCTCCAGGCCTTAAAATATCGGTCGGTCACGGACATTGTCCGACCCGTTCGTGAAATTGTCCGACGTAGAGAGGAAACCACCGGACATTCTGTCCGACCAAAGTGAAACTGAGGTTTATTGTTTGTCCGACCCAAGTGAATTGGTGTCCGACCGAACTGTAGCTTTGTCCGACGTACTATTGTATAAAAGGTGTACTGGAAATGTTGTTTTAACGTAGTCGAGCGCGGGGCGGCGAGCGAAATGGTGAAGTGGAAAACGGGCTTAAAGTTGTCGAAGTCTTTTTTAACACTGCTGTTCTGGCAAGTGAGTTGATTTTGGCTTGGAAATAAGTATGAAAGAAATTATTTAATATCTTTACAACATTTACCGTTTATTCATTTGTGTCATTCAGACTTATTTCCGAGTCAAAACTGAACTGAAAGTCATCGGACATATGTCCGACCCAAACTCAACATCACCGGACATTTTGTCAGACGGCCCTGGAAAAGATATTTTAAGGCCTGAACCTCTCTTCAAATTTTAATATGTTATTCCTCTATCAACCAGAAATCTTCAACAGAAACTTTAGGAAAATTAACCGAAGGAAAAAAAGATGTTGTCGTTTGTTTGTGAAATTACAGTACACAATAAAAATGCAAAATATAAAACGTCATGGTTGCCATGGCAACACTAACACCAAAGTGTTCATATATCGACAGCACAAGACTTCTGAACTTTCCTGGAAATGATCAATTGCCCTGTCTTAAGTGTATTCAATATAAATTTGGTTGAAAACGAAGGTTACTGTACCTAAATTCTTAAAATTTTAGAAAACTTTAGGGAGCCACCTTAAGTCATAGTCAATCACACTGATTTCCTTTTGTTCATGTTTATCCAAACTTGGGCATAATGAAGCAATCAATAAATGGCATCGTCATGTCGAACCACTCAACCAAACTGTTGAAATATTAACAAGCAAAATTTCATAAGACGGTGAAGATATTTCAACATAATATTGTACAGTTGTAAATTATACACGCTTTGAAGTTTACCAAGTTTCCGGAACATATCTCGATTGACTAATATTTGATCTGATGTTTTATCCAGTTCAGATGAGAATAGCCGGTGTTAATATGAACATGCCCTTAATTAAAGCAGTACTGCCGTACCTGTTTGATGGACGTAGTTTTCTCGAGTTTATTACAGAGGTCATCCAAGTTTTCTTGTTCGTCCCTGACATGTCCTACTTTAGAGAGATATATCTGCAATAATTTCACTACCTCCATAACTACAGTTTTGAAAGCTTTCGCTGTTGAATGAGCAATTTCATCTTCTTCAATGAGACGTAATCTGGCAAATGCCAACTGTAGAGGAGATCGTCCACACTCATCAAGTGCATTCACATTTGCACCTAAAATATTTTAATACGCATTGTTGTAATAATGCAGCTGTCGTTGTTACCTGTTACCGTAAGCTACCTTAATTATACAGAACCCTCTATTCAACTTGCGGTCCTAAGTATGTATTTATTAGCAACCCGTTTCGTAATTGTACACAGTAAAATATGGATTCTGATTGTTGGCTTTCATAATATTAATTCATTTAATTGTTAACATAATGTTTCAAAAAGGTCGTTTTCATTTGATCGCCTCCGTAGTTCGCTTCCACCGGACATAAGCAACTGAATTGAATTTGAATCGCCAGAATATTCAATATTCATGGTATGCATGCGAGCACAAAGGTGAACAAAAAACTGTAAAGTTAGGGACCGGTCATTATCAATAGTAGGGGTGGGACCGAAGAGAAACTCTCATGATATAAAAAAAACTAGTTACCCAGCTTTTCACAGTTCCAGATTACTAATGTCTATTACTAATGTCTATGACCCACCCCACCATGCTACTGAAATGAGTGTATTTTTCTATTTAAAGTTTTTTTTAAATTTATATTAAATTTTATTGATGCTGATGTTATAATCCCTAGTATTTTTTTACCCAACCCCCATGGCTATTCAATTTTTTCTTGACCTTGGTCACCTAGCATTTTCTCTTGACCCAACCATTTTCTCTTCGGTCCCACCCCCACTATTAATAATGACCGGTCCCTTAGACAAGCAGAGCGCATGTTTAAAAGTTTTAAACCTGTTCATGTTGGCAAAACTCTTATAACTTGTAATGTTTCCTGAAACTGGGAATTAGCCTTTCTCACGCCGCCATTTTTGGGTGGCTTTTCAGCCGAAGTCTGCGAGATAAGTCCACATAACAGTGAATTTTTATATTTTTTGGACGAATGATGGTAAATTTGCTTTGTAAATGGTTAGTTTATTTTGAAAAATTGCTTTTCACATTGTTTTAATTGTCTGCATTAGTTAACAACAATTAGATGCCACCCAAAAATGGCGGATATTCGTCATCGCGAGAAAGGCTAGTTGGATCCAAAACAGGCTTGGCCTGTTTTGAAACAAGCTTCACGTGAACGCACACAAAAAATGCCTCAACATTAGCATATCAATCATTAGTATACCAGTCCTACTGTAGGTTCTTAAATACTTCATACTACAGTATGTGTGTATTTCTAACAATGGTGTGTTTCCATTCAGTAGAAACATGGCCATAACTCACCATGTTCAGCTAGCATTGTCACAATCTTAATATGACTAGCACATGCTGCCAGATGCAATGGTGTATTTCCATTCACATCTCGCAAATTAGGGTTGGCTCCTTGGCTTAGCAACACTCGAACAATTGGTATGTCTCCTTTAGAGGCAGCAAAATGAAGAGCCGTGCGTTTCTTGGAGTCAGAACAAGAGACGGCCACTCCTTCTCCAATCAGTCTTTCCACCATCTCAAAATTGCCATTGTTGGCCGCTTCTCGAAACCTCTTCTCCCCAAGGAAATTAAGTCCAGAACAAGTACGAAGCACCTTTAAAATAAACATACATTTGAGTGAATCATGCATAATAACATAGAGATTAAAAAAGAATAGAGTGGGAATTAGGTCCTCCTAAGTGGGAAATTACGAAAATAATACAACTTTGAAAACGTCGATTTTTTCAGTTTTCGCATAGTTCAAGCAAGGACTAAAGCTCAAAATCAACAAGAATACCTGGACTTTAATTAAAAATAAGTTTTGGAACGGTAGAAATGTTTTAGAGTACTTTTTTTCGATGTTGAAGAGTGGTGTTTTCTTCGTGACTTCGGCACGTCGGAAATGTTAACATTTTCCACGATATAAAACGGAAATTCCTCAATTTTTCGTCACAAATAAATGTAAAACAGTCAGGACTGTTGATAAAACCAGGATTGAATACTTGAATTGTAGGCAAAAGGTGAAAAACTAGATTTTCTTGGTCTTAAATCTGGGTATAACTCAAATTTCCCCCCATTACTCTATTAGCAAGCTTCAATTTGTCTCTGCCTGAACTTTTCCCGCAATGCATGCACACTCTATTATTTTATAAGGGACCGGTCATTAATTACAGGGGAGGGGGGCCTGGTGGAAAACGAGGGGGTTAGATATTTTTGTGCATGAAAAAGGGGGGGGGCAAAAATTTTTGTGCAATATAAATACCTGCCCCCGCATGACCCCGTTGTACCATAAAACCTACAGATAAAAATATAGGGAGCAGTAGAACTGTAGTAAACTCCAACACAACACACCATTTTAAGAAAATACAAAATAACAGTAACTCCGAATAACATTTTGATTTTTAATCGACGTTTCGACTAGTTTTTTTTCGGAGTTACTGTTATTTTGTATTTTCTTAAAATACTGAGTGGTTCCCGTAATTACACACCATTTATTAAACTGATTTCAACATAAACATGTACATTGGAACAGCCGTTGACTCAATAAATGGTAGAGAATATATAAATTACGATACATGTATATAGGGCATAGTTGCCAACTCTCAAGTATAATTGTGTCATCCTCAAGGGGGGCCAACAAAATTTTAGCATCCTATTTTCCATTTCCACCAACATCCCCCCCCCCTGTAAGTAATGACCAGTTCCTAATCTCTATACATAATAATACACAATTACCATGCTCGTTTCTATATTATAGATATTATAGATATTATAGATATTATAGATATTATATATATTATTATATTATATATATTATAGTTTTTAGTTTTACCTCAAAAAACCACAACAGTCTGTTTCATCCGTATAGAAATCATCAGGTGGTGAGTAATTTCGAAAATGTAGGTTGCTTTTATGCTATCGAAAGAATGCGCGGATTCGCGGAATGCGTGTAGGCGAAACAATGCTTAGACGAAACAATTGATGCTTACAGTATGCGAAACAGTGCTTAGTCGAAACAATGCTTGGGTCATAAAATTTTGTTAACGACCTTGTTTACTCGAAACCGGTTTTTGTGACCACACTAGCTTGCCGAAAATTTCGCTTCTTTTATTGAGTAAATTATCTTTGTTTATGTCTTTCAAAATGCACAATTTTTCTTCCAAACATATTATATATATTACATAATTTATTTATATATATTATATATATTACATAATTTATATATATACTGTTATATTAACATCAGTACATTGTCTACATTGTAAGTACTGAAAATGAGTATTTTTAAACCATTATTGTACTGTAGGTGCGTGACCCCCAGATATTGTGAGTACCATAGCATCAATTACCAGTAGAATCCTAACATTTTCATGGTAATATGACATTGCAGTAGTAGTCTACTATGCCTGCATAGCCACCTCTTCATTGAAGCCGCTCTCTTTTAATTTAAGCCTTACCTGCCCTTCACAACAAAGAAATGGATTAATACTGAATATATATACCGGTACATGAAGGACAGAGCATACTTGTAGAAACAAATAAAATGTCAAAAATAAACTCTCTGGATTTATGGTACAGTAAGTGAAAAATACCTTTGAATGTCGTCTTGACCTCAATCGAGATGATTTCATTTTGGTTTTAAGTTCTGTTTGGTCACTTTCACTTGGCAAGGCTTCATACCCAGCCCCAAAATTATCAGGTAGAATACTTGTGAACTTGAGTCCAGCAGGAGCCTCAGGAGACCAATTAAGGTTAAATTTTGAACAACCTTCCACTGACGTCACATTACTTTCAGCCATTGTGCTGTAACAGTGGCACACAAAATTACAGTTTCATAATTGCAATATCAACAATACCGTATATTGTACACGTCACTCAGTGACAAAGTTATAGCCATAGCAACTGGTCATGCTATGTAAATTGGTTAATTAAAGTGATTCATCAGTTTTGCATTGTGCACTTTAATAACAACTTCTAGCTAATATAAGTAGTCAAACTGCAATGTAAAGTGATAAAGAGTAAGGGCCGGCAAAGAGAAAATCACTCTGATTGATTCATTATAGGCGTGCTTCATTAGGGACGGACCATTATTTTTTTGGAGGGGGGGATGGACATTTCGTCAACGCAAACAATTTTTTTTGGTGTTGTTGTCGTTGCAAATAATTTTTTGCGCCTGTTTCCTTCTGCAAACAATTTTTTTGTCCATCTGATTGCTGTGGATTTCATAAATTGATATAATTATATAGTTTAATTTGTGCCCGATTACACTATTGCATGCGTGAACAACATGTGGTGTTGTCAGAAGTATAAATTTAATAATAATGTAAACAGACATTTAATAGCTTTTTTGGTATACTGGTCAGGGCCTTTTTTAAGGATTTTTCTGTGTGTGTGTGTGTGTGTGTGTGTGTGTGTGTGTGTGTGTGT